ACAGATTGGATCCTTTAGGGTGATGTACAATACCACTATCTCAACATGTACAGCAAACAAATAAGATGTGTAGTTTTGCATATTTAATTACGAAGTTTGCATAATGTCCATCAGCAACAATCTTTAGCCTGACGAGATCGCGTGAGTTGTGCCACTCCGCGGTGCTCCAAACCCAACATGCGTCTGACAGAACGATGTAGTTTTTCACTTTCCCAATTGCAGTGACAGCCATCAAAGAGTAACCATTCATGGAAGAGTTTATTTGTTTGTTGACATAATGTGTTATAAGATGCTGGCAAATTTCCCCCAAATGTTTATCGTTTTGTTGAAAACAGTTTGTGATTTTTGCCGACAATGCAAACATGGCTTTGATTGACGGTGTTACCATGACCACCAAAATGAATATTAATTGAAACTCATTGCAAGAATGATTTTGCCGACAAGACATACATAATTCTGTCAGGTGTTAGTGAGGTCTGATACTGTTCGGCCTGCGAGGGCGTCACTCACACCTACATGTCAGGCTACAACAATCTTATGACAGTTTAGACATAAAGTCAAATACTTTAGTGCTGTCTTATTAAACCCAGTTATCAAAAACACATTCATTTAAATTCAAATTTAAATTTATTTACAATATAGTTAAAATTCCCCAATAATATAATTATACCTCCAGAATCAAATGAATCATATTACAAAATATAAACTAATTTATGCTGTAAATTACATGGTTTTCTGCACTGACCAACAACATCCAATGTGGTAGTCGACTAAACACAGACTGATCTCTCAGGAAAGAGATTCAAGATATTACGAACCAAACTCAATAGTTTCATCTGTGATCTTCTTGAAATCATATTTGCCACGTCCATCCATATGTAAAAAGTACTATAAAAAAAAAAAGTGAATAAAGTAGATTAACTTGACATTGATCATAAGAATGCATATAACATAATATTGAAAAGACACGGCTACCAAATCACAAAATCCAATCATATAACAAAAAAAGAAATGCATGAGTGTGATGCTCATAAGAAATATCATTGAATAAAATCAGCATGTCTGAGAAAAAGTTGATGACATGTTTTGTGATTTTATTGTTTTTGAGAAAAATGGCTAAATTTCAGCGAAACCTAAAAACAACTGAAGACAACAATCAATCAACATGTATTCAAGTCACAGTCAGTGTACACAAAAAATCATCATCGAACTCAAGAACTCATCAGCAAAGGCTTTACAATTAGATGACAATTTTGGTTTCAAAAACTCCAGGAAAGTGTTCTAGGTTCTTCATGTAATTAGGTGTTTGTATGCAATGGTTGGCTGCCCCCATATAGTAAATACTGGTAAATTAATCGCATTTATTTTATTATCACTTGTATGCCATCATTCATGATGTGTCTTTGTACGAGATTCAAACCAAATCTGTGAAAGTGCAAAACGGTAACAGTAATCACAAAACAAGTTTACCATATTTATCCGGGTATAAGCCCAGGGTCTTGAACATGGAAAATTGCCAAAAAGAAGGGGTGGGCGTTTGCCAGGAGATCCCCGGCAAAAAAAACGAAAATTCGCGAAAATCGGCAGGGAATAGAACGACAAATGAAAACATGCAACGGAAATAAATGAACAATATGCAACACTAGAAGTAGAACAAAAATAATGTATTGCTTATAATGTGACAAAAAAACAGAAATAATAAAAATCGACAGTGAGGAATCATTTGAATTAGGATTTTCCCGCCGACAAACACGCGTGAACTCAAAATGAATTAAAATGTCAGGGGTTAAACTGTGTAAAATGATTACCGGTCTCCACAAATTACAATAAACCGTCATACAAGATCAATAATAATTTACAAATTTACGCAGTAAAAATTATAAAAATTCATAGCTGTTTGAAAAAACCTTCTCAGATCTGTATTTGTACGTTCATTGCCATCTTCGTCAAACTCAAAACCCTCAAAGTCCAGTCGGCGTCACTGTAGCCGCCAAACAAAATCCCTACAACTTATTCCTGAA